TTAAAATATACTCAAATTAAGAATCATATCACATGATCTAATATATAGAAAACTAAAGGTTTCACAAAAAAAACCCTGTCAGAACTAAGAGATTCAGCAAAGTCACAAGATACAACAATCAACACACAACAATCAGTTGCATTTCTATACACTAACAGTGAACAATATGAAAAGAAAATTAATAATCCCACTTACAAGAGCATCAAGTATAAAAAGTTTGACAAAGAAGACTTAACTACAAAACATTACTGAAAGAAATTAAAGAAGACACAAATAAATGGAAAGACATGTCATGCTCAGGGATTGGAAGACTTAATATTGTTAAAATGACCATATTGCCCACAGCTATCTACAGATTTAATACAATGTCTATCAATATCTCAGTAGCATTTTTTTGCAAAAGTAGAAAAAAAAATTCTAAAATTCATATGGAGTCACAAAAGACTCTGAATAAGCCAAAAACAATTCAAGAAGAACAAAGCTGTAGGCATTACATTCCTGATTTAAAAACATATTATAAAGCTACAGTATCAAAGCAGTGTGGTACTGGCATAAAGACAGATGTATAGACCAATAGAACAGAACAGAGGGCTCAGAGAAATTTCACACATATACGACCAAATGATCTTTGACAGTGCCAGTATTACACAATGGGGAAAATATAGTCTCTTCAATGGTGCTGGTGAAATTATATATTCATATGCAGAATGAAATTAGACCCTTATATCAAACAAGAAGTTCAACTCAAAATGGATTAAAGACTTATAAAACTAATACCTAAAACCATAAAATCTCCTAGGAGAAAACATAAGGGAAAAGCTTTATAGCATTGGACATGGCAATGATTTCCGGATAGAAAAATGATTTCTGGATAGAAAGTACAAGCAATTAAAGCAAAAATAGACATGTGGAACTACATAGCTAAAAAGCATCTATACAGCAAAGAAAAAAAACAAACAGTTTTCTGGAAGCCTAGGGAGTGGGAAAAAATATTTGCAAACCATACATCTGACAAGTGGTTAATAGTCAAAATATACAAGGAACACTTACAACTCAAAAAGCAAAGAACCTGAATAAAAGTTTCTCCAAAGAAGACACATAAGTAGCCAACAGGTAGTATAAAAAAAAATCATGAATCTTTAGGAAAATACAAACTGATATTGATATATAATAATATATATTTAATATAAATATTTAAAAAGTTGGAACTTTTAATCACACCCCCTAACCTTCCAGAAATGAGAGGAGAGAGGGGCTAAAGGTTGAGCTGATCACCAATGGTCAATGATTTAATCTATCATGCCTACATAATGAAGCCCCCATAAAGACCCAAAAGGACTGGTTCAGAAGAGCCATTGCATAGCTGAACTGATGAAGGTTTCATGGAAGCTCTGCAGCCTGCCCTTCTTCCATATCTCACCCCATGCAACTCTTTCATCTGGCTGTTCACCTGTATCTTTTGTAATATTCTTTACAATAAATGGGTAAATGTAAGTAAAATGTTTCCTTGAGTTCTGTGACCCACTCTAGCAAATTAATGAAGCCCAAGGAGGGGGTCGTGTCAAAATTGGATTAAATTAAAGGACACCTAGCTGGTGTCCACTGGAGAATCTGGGTTCACAGAAGTAGCCTGTTGAACAAGAGAGCAGAGAGTGAGGGGAAAAGAGTGGGGTTTTCCTGTTTCTAACAGCAAATCAAACCATAATTAGACTACTGTCTCTACCTGTGGCTATTATTAAAAGAAAACAACACAAGTGTTGGCAAGGATGCAGGGAAATTGGAACTCCTATGCACTGCTGCTGGGAAGTAAAATGGTACAGTTGTTTGGCAAATGATGTGGAGGTTCCTCAAAAAAACTAAATATAGAGCTATCATATGACCCAGCAAAATCACTTCTGGGTATTTATTCAAAATAAATGAAATTAGGATCTTAAAGAGATATTTACACTCCATGTTTGCTGTAGAATTATTCACAATAGCCAAGAGGTGGAAACAACCTAAATGTCCATCAGTGGGTGAATGCGTAAGGAGATGTGGTATAATAGTTCCCCCATATCCACAGGGCATACGTTTCAAGACCCCCAGTGGATGCCTGGAACCATGGATAGCAGCAAACCCTATACACAAGTGATCCTTGGACAACACAGCTTTAGCTGTGGAGGTCTACTTATAAGATTTCCTCCAACAAAACAGAGGTGGGAAATACAGTATTTCTGGGAAATGAACCCCAAGTATAAGGACCAACTTATTTTTCATACATGTAGGTTCTGCAGGACTTAAGTATGGAGAGATTTTGGTACACACAGGTGGGTGGTCCTGGAATCAATCCCCTGCGTATACTGAAGGATGACTATATACTGTTTTTCCCTATACATACATACCTATGATAAAGTTTAATTTGTAAATTAGGCACAGTAAGAGATTAACAATAACTAATAATGAAATAGAACAACCATAATAACATGCCACCATCACTACTCTGTGGGGCCATTACTAAGTAAAATAAGTAAAACAAGCATTGAGATATAAATCCATCTGATAAGAGAGGCAGCTGTTAAGTGACTAAAGGGCAGGTGTACACTGCATGGATATGCTGGACAAAGGAAGGAGTTTACATACTGGCCGGGTTGGAGTGAGACAGTGAGAGATTTCATTTCACTACTCAGAACAGCATGCAATTTAGAACTTAAGAGTGTTTATTTCTGGAATTCTCCACGTAATATTTTTGGACTACAGGTAACTGAAACTGCAGAAAGCAGAGCCATAGATAAGAGGGCCTATGTATGTATGTACAATTTAATACTATTCAGCATTAAACGGAAGGAAATTCTGACACACGTTACAACATAAATGAACCATGAAGACATTGTGCTAAGTGAGAGAAGCCAGGCACAGTAGGACAAATGCTACATTATTACACTTGTATGAGGTATCAAAAACAGTCAAACTCATAAAAAAACAAAGTAGAACAGTGGTTGACAGGAGCTGAACAGGGGCATTGCTGTTCAATGGGTCTAGAGCTTCAGTCATGCAGTTCTCCAGATCGGCTCTACAGCAACATACTTACAGTCAACAGTATTATACCACACATTAAAAAATTTAAGAGAGTAGATCTCATGTGTTTTTTACCATTCACACATACAAAAATCCTCTGCCTATGAGACACCACTGAGGGCAGTATTGCTTCTGCCTTGTTTCCTGTCAGCCCTAATTCAGCGCCTGCCCTTCACCGTGGGAGCTAAAATCCAGCCAGGCCCTTAGAAATGCCCTTCACCGTGGGAGCTAAAATCCAGCCAGGCCCAGTCAATACACAACTTTCTCATCTCCACCCCCACAGGGCGAGGGAAGTGGAAGCTCCAGACAGATCCTGTAAACTGGCTCCCAAACAGACTTCCAGATTCTGAGGCTGAAGAAAGAATCCTGAGAAGAAAGGCTCTCGTCAAACCTTTACCAGGAAATTTGGAGTATATTTGCATTGTGAGGAACAGATGTTCCAGGACATGAATGTTCCAGGCAGGATCGAAATTAAGAAAGTTAAATAACAATTGTTAAATAACAATATATAAATGAAGACTGTAAATATATAATTGATCTGTAATAAAAATACCACCAGAAACAGCTGATGCCACAGGTCTGTACCAGCAGAGACTATAGGAAATCTAGCTTATGTTCAATATCCCTTATTGAACATAATTAGAACATAGCACATCCCTTCCTTTGACTGTGTGTGTGTGTGTGTGGGGGGGGGGGTGGGTGGGTGTGTATGTATCCAAAGATTTTTTTCCATCAAAAACAGAAGCAAAAAAAAAAAAAAAGTAAGAATTTAAACACTAATTAAACAGTCTGTTGGGTATTCGATATGGCTTTTTTGTACAAGGTGAACTCTCTTTGGGTATCTTATTTAATTATCATTTCATAAAGTTTTGTGGGTTTTAATTTTTTAATCTATTTTATGTTGAACCCAGGACTCTAATGAGAGAGATATAGAGACCACAAAGAGCCAGCTCCGATGCAAACACACGAGGGTCTTTATTCAGGCTCGAGTCTGGGCTCACGCCCGAAGCAGCAGCTTCAGGGACCAGAGCCCCGATTCACAATGGCAAGCAGTTTTTATGCACAATTACAGAGGGAGGGGAAAGAACTCCAAACTTGATTTTACATGATTGGGTAATTTCTCCTATGGGTATGGGAATACTTGGTATTGGTGGGTGCTGCCCGTGATTGACAGAAACCCACGTAATGGGTCGAGTGAAATGTTAGATAAGTTAGGTCCATACAGTCTCTGCTTATGAAGTAACCTGAGCCGGCAGACAAAGGGTTACATTAGCCCTTTTAGTTTACCGATCCAGCCCAAGGCTTACTTAGGAAAGCTTGTTTGCTTAACCTTTACATAGTCATTATGGGACAACAAAAGCCAAACTTAACAAAGTTTTAAATATGAATGCTGCAAGCACATACAGTGAATGTGGGGTAGAAAATCATATACTAATTCTGGGAATTTATAATAGCAAGCTTATTATAGCAAGGCGGTTACTTTTATAAAGGTCTTTGTTCCCTGCAGGTTTACATAGCCACTGCGTGTAAATTATCACTGAGATATAAACCGGTGATAAAGCCCACCTAGAGAAGTCTGGTGCCACCTTGTAGGAATGTTTGAAAGAGGCTTATCGCTTACCCTTTACATCCCGTTGTAAAAGCATAAGTTAGCCTACTGGTTTGGGGTTGACAATGCTTAACCCAAGGATTCTAAATACAAACACTGCTTAAAACCCGACATATGCCTAATTCTACGGGGTCTGAGGTAGGATTTAAAGTACTAAGATTTCATAAAATACATGAGGTAGGAATACACAAAATATATAGTAAACATGAGGTGGGGATATATGAAATATAGTGAACTAAACGCTACTTTTACAGCAAATAAGTTTCTTGGTTTCTTGGGTCTCTCAATAGCATGCTCTTAACCTAAATCTATTGTTGTCCTCTCATTTTATGTTTACCTTTTGCAGGTAAAGAACTGTTCCTTTCAATACAGCATAAAAGGTTTTCCATCCACGCTTTCCTCTTGGAGCTAGAAAAGGAAAAAAATGTAAAATTTAATTAAACATAAATTAGCATTTTAGGAAGACAATCTAAATGATCAAACTGGTGATCATGTTTCAATATTCCTAGTTTATTAGGTACCAAAACTACTAACAATAAGAACTCAAATTTTCTTGAGCTTTACAACGTACTAGACAGTACTCTAAAAACGATTTCCATGTATTATTTTATTTAATCCTCACAATAATCCTGCCAGGTAGGCACTATTACTCTCCTCTTTTTACAAAACTGAAGCACAGAGAAGCAACCTAATGGTCACAAAACTATGAAGAGGAGAAGCTGAAAACTGAACCCAGGTAGCAAGGGTCACTTACAGACTAGGCTGGGTAAGCAAGAAAGGCATCTTGAAGATACATATTAATCCAACAGGAGCCTTTATGGCTTCTTCTAAGTCTTTTGGACTCAGAATATGAAAGCACCACTCTTGGCATTTTTCCCACACCCTCCTCAACTAGATCATAACTTTAATTATTATTATTCCTATGGCAAACTGTGCATATCACTGCTGCAATGTGTGTTGTTGTTGTTGTTGTTGTTGTTTGGTCTAAATGTCTTCATTAGGCTGTGAATGACTTGAGAGCGGGTTTTTTCATCTTTTGACTTAACAGAACCTAGAACGATGCAAAGTGTCTTAGGCACCATCATAAAAATCCTCCAAATCAATTCTTTTAGAAGTGCTTACATTCCTTTTGAATATAGTTTTCTGGAGTATAAAGTAGAATGTCTCTACTGACTTATATAAACTCTTACAAATTGTCCCAAAGCAAAAGCATAGATTAGCAAAACAGTTTACTATTTCTTCTTAATCTTAATAAAGTTAGAATGTGTAAATGAAAATGTTATTACCCGAATGTCATTTTTCTAAGCATGTCTGCCCAAATAGATAGAAAGGGCCATTTATTCATGCTCCTTTATCTGACACTTGGTTATCCTCAGGCTGTCTTTAACTCTGGATATCTGATTAAATCAGGAAGCAAGTTATTCTTAAGCAAATCCTTTAAATCTCTTTTGACTGAATACTCAAGAATTCTTAGGCTGGGAACTAGCTGAATAGCCACTTACAGAACACAGGTGCTCCTGCCAACCCCACACTGAGATATCCACCTGGTAAAAAAGGACTCAAAATATCTGCTCTGCAGATTTCCAGGGGAAATAAAAAATATCATCCCTTCTGTTTCCACTAGGTGAGGTTTAAAAGTGCATACTCAAAAATATATGACCAAAAAAAGAGCTCCATTATTTCCTTTCCAAAGAAAAAGTGACCGATAAAAACAGAAAGACCATAGACCAGATATATAATAAATATTCACTACATCCGTTCAAAAAGTGCCACATTGTGATACTGCCTACGTGAGAACCACATACACAGCAGTGACCACTGCTGAGACAGTCGTGCAGGGGCAGCATGGTGTGGGGGAGGCTTCTGATCTGAAAAGGAAACTCGCTGAGTTTCAGGCCCTTCCTGGTCTCACCTGGTCTCAGACTTATCCTCTTACTCACCAACCCCTAAATGGATAACTCCCGACAGGCCACTCAACTGCTTGGTACTTCAGCTGTCTCATTTGAAAGTGTGGGTAATGGGCAACCCCTTCGGGTCCCCTTCTACTGTGGGAGCTTTTTTCTTCTCTTAATAAATCCTGCTTTCAAAAAAAAAGAAAGAAAGAAAATGTGGGTAACTTAGTACTGGCTAATGCTGAAAGGGAACTTGGAGAAAATCATTTTGTTTTCAATAGAACATAGGTCTTGGAGTTTGAAGACTTTCTTCTCTAAGCCCTAAAGCTAGTTTAGTGGCATCTTGAGATGCCTTTAGTTCAAAGATCTACACATCTTGTTTTTCTACTTCTGAAGTAGAAATCTATGAACTGACATATGTGGTCATAGTATTTTTAACAGCTCTTTCTCATGATCACCCCAAGCCTACTAGAAACTGAGTCCAAAGAGCTTTCCAGGTGAACTGTGATCTTAAAGCAAGTCATGAGTGACTAGTGTTCACTAAGTCGGTAAGCATTATTAACCTTCTATTAAACTCTCTACTTTTCCATCTTCCATGAAAGTGTAAAATTTTATCTGAGTAAATTGCAATTTAGTTGTCTAAGACAGGGGTCTCCAATTTGCCAGCTGACGACCAGTAGAGGTCAGTGGCCTGTTAGAAAACCAGGTCACACAGCAGGAGCTGAGCAGTGGGGGAACAGGCTCCACTTTCTGTCACATCAGTGGTGGAATTAAGATTCTCATAGGAGTATGAACCCTATTGTGAACTGCGCATGTGAGGGATCCAGATTGTGAGCTCCTTATGAGAATCTAATACCTGATAATCCCCTCTTCTCCCTGTCCATGGAAAAATTGTTTTTTACAAAACCAGTCTCTGATGCCAAAAAGATTGGGAAATGCTGGTCTAAGACATGAATGATAATTCTCCCAAAAAGATAATTTAGAAGCAAGTGCTCAACAGCAGTTAGCTAATATGCTATGAAAGTACCCTTCTAAGTGCTCTGGTGTGTATTAGTCCACAATGGACTCCACAATGCTAAGAGTACCGTACTATGTTACCTCCATTTTATTCGAAACAGTGTGGGAGTAAACAAGTGGAATTCAGGGGAAAAAAGGATCACTGTTCACTAGAGTAGGCTGAGAAGGCTCTCCAGGGGCCTCAACTACCCTGATTTTACAGCTGCGCACACAATGCTGCTGCGGCTGTGGCACCCTAGGAAAGACTCTGAGTGAAACACAGTGGGTTAGACACCAATGATTGAACAGCAGTGTTTTTCATGATGATGACTGTAGGATGAGCTAACACTGATTTCACAGCACATGTGTTAAGTGCAGATGACTGGGTAAAGAGTTGTAACTGTATTACATAATGAGCATTATGGGAAGAATGAGTGAAAAAGTTACTGACCAGAAAACTAATGTATGGACTGAAAGGCTGTAACTACAAGGCTGGTAGAGAATTGGTATGTTGATGTAGTTTAAGAAATATCCAGGTACCTACTATGAGAAGGTGTTCGCTAAATTTGATCAAAAGATACCATTTTATGTGCTAGGTCACGCTTTTGTTGCAGTTTTTAATATGTACACTTAAAGTCCAAAGATAATCAATTGCTTTCCTTCTTGAAAATACGAGGACCTTGTACAGTTTTAATTCTAATCAGGCTCCAACCATACTGTAGTTTTTTTTTTGAGTTGGAGTCTCACTCTGTCGCCCAGACTGGAGTGCAGTGGCCGCTCCCACCCACCACAGCCTCGCCTACTAGGCTTTGGTGATCCTTCCGCCTCAGCCTTCCGAGTAGCCGGAATTACAGGCACGCACTACCTCGCCCGGCTAATTGTTTGATTTATTGTAGAGATGAAGTTTCGCCTGCCCAGGCGGGTCTCAAACCCGCGGGCTCAGGCAATCTACCCACCTCAGTCTCCCAAAGGCGTGGGATTATAGGCTGAGCCACTGAGCCCGGTTTGTAGTTTTTAAAATACTGAAACAAACATCATTATTTTTCTATAAATTGTTTCTGTTTAGATGTATCTCCATGTTGACTTTGATCTACTTATCAATTCTTTCTGTACCCCAGATTGTTCTTCAGAGGCCATTTTCGATTCCTTCCTAAAGTCTTTCCTTAGAAGTTCCTTTAGTGAGCGTCTTTTGGTAGTAAAGCTTTTTCTTTGTAAAAATTATATAGAAATGTCTTTATTTCATAAAAAATTCTAAGGTGACAGTTATTTTTTAAGTGACGATATTACTTTACTATCTTTTGGCTACTTTCATTGTTGGGACATCTACCCTGAGTCTAATGTTGTCTAAGCTTTGGTTTACTTTAATTTATACAGCCTGGCATCCTTTGGTCTTCCTGTATATCATGTTGGAAAACCTGGAGCCATTATATCTTTGAATATTTTCCCTCCTCTCTTGTCTTGATAATTTTAACCTTCCAACACTCCTAACCTTCTAACTTCTCACTTCATTCCACTGTGTCCTAACTGCTCTTTCATAATCTCCACTACTTTGTACTTCTGTGTCAAATGCTATGTAGTTTTATCTCCAGTACTGGTTGGCCACCCAGATCCAAAAATGCCCTAAAAGTTTAGCAGCCCTGGGGGTATCTTACCTTCCTAGATTTGTACTCTTGCTTTATTCCTGGCCTAACAGGATTTCCCTTTCATTGTTACAGGCTCATCCATTCATTTAAAAGGTGTTTAAAAATATTTTATCTATCATTTTTAGATGTTTTAGAATGAAAGAGTTTCAGAAACTGCAGGCCATCTTATTGCAAAAAATAGACTCTCTAGTTCTTCTTTTCTTTCCTTTTTTTTTTTTTAAGAATTTGTTCACAAACTTTGTCATCCAGGAAGAATTCATTTGGAACAGGATATAGGAGACACAGGGGGGTGAGGAGAAAGAGAGAGAAACTAGAATGGGGGAACTAGTAAGGAGGTTATTACAATAGCCTAGACGAGAGAAAAAGGCCAGAGCATGGGTAGAGCTATACAATACATTAAGATCAAGAAATGGGGTGGACATGGTGTATCATGTCTGTAATCCCAGCACTTTAATCAGTTGAGGTAGGAGAATCTCTTGAGGTCAAAAGTTAACAATATAGCAAGACCCATCTCTACAAAACCAAAACAAGCCAGGTGTGGTGGTATGTATGCCTATAGTTCCAGCTAGAAGGAAAGGGCAAAGGTGTTAACATTAACCGAGCATTTACACAGCAGTACTCTGAACATTGGGCCAGCATTATACACGTATGTTCTATGTGATCAAAACAACACTTCCAGATAGGCGTTATTGCCTCTATTATTAACTACATTTGCAGTTCTGAGAGGTAGAGTAAGCTGCTGAGGAGGCTCCCCATCTAAGGACTTCAAAGCTATTGTACAGGGCAATTCAGATAAGGAAATATGATCTAAGGATACACTACGAAGGAGAAACCGTCCAGGACTCCAGGTAGTAATCCTTTGTAAGGGTCAGGCCGC